GGTCGCCCTAAATATGTCATCATAGAAAGTTCTTCGAAACCTAGCTATTTATCATATCTAAAATTAACTAATATTCATCAATACATGTTCAGCAAAAAATTTCACTTTCTGGGTGTTTGAGTGGTCTGAATAAATTCTCGGACAGTTATTTGATTGATTTATTAGATGCGACTACATAGGGGTAAATTTTAGGCTGTATCCCTTATTCTAAAATAATCTGGCTCCAAAATTCAGCTACTAAATACAAACCGCATAAAGTTTATCAAGAAAATGTTGGTTTCGAATAATCTTCTAAGATATGATTAATGTGAATATTTTGATTTCGTATGCAAGTAAATGATGAAGAGATTCATGAGTCAAGCTTGCTGGGAGACGTCGGTTATACTACAGCCATTTTGAATTAATACGGCGTTCAGGTTGGTGCAGTCCACGAAACATACTCCAATGATTCGGGCGAAGGTGGGCTGAGCTTCCATTCGCCATGTGACGAACATCGTCAGAGGTAAGACTCATTCTTACAAAAGCCTCAAGTTAACACTAAGTCATCTCAATTGCTCTTACGATTTTCGTTGCATGACGGCCGAAAGCTCAATCCGTCTTCGCCCGAAACGTTGGAGGATGTCTCGTGGACTGCGTTAACCTGAAATGTCGTAATAATGTCAAATAGCTGCAGTACAATGCGAATCAATCGAAATCTCCTGATGAGATTGACTTACGAATATCTTCATCATGTACTTACATACGAAATGAAAGTCTCCACACCATTAGCACCTAGCAGTCCATCTAAATATCTCAATCCGGATAGATTGGATAGAAAAAGATTATATTGACAGGAAACGTCTGTGGATTATTAGGGTATAAATACTGACGGACCAATATGAGGCAGTGCGAAACAGGAAAAATAGCAGACGGGACTAGTCAAGCTAATATGCGTGATTAATGATGAGTTCAGGGACATTTAATTGCATATCAGTGGGATTCGAGGCTATTCATGTTTTGCATGAACCAAGGTGTCAGTTTAAAGCTCGCATGATTTTAGCTACAGAATGGTGACTATCAAGATAAGGATTAACTGATGGCTAGGCTGCCCCGTTTTCTGAGCAACCATAGCCAGACTCGCGCAGGCAATCACTAGCTGAGTCAGAGTTGATTGAGTTGAAACTGGCAGTAGACTGTTTTCGAAGAAGCAATTGCTGGTGCAACTGGTAGTCCTCTTCAGCGCCAACGGGAGCTAGATTGATTACCGGAATTGTGCCTTGAAGATAGAACAAAAATGAAAAATAATGAAATCTTGCCTGGGTTTAGAAGTTATCGTGAAGGTCTCTGAACATTTAAGTGAAATTTCAATGATATAGTGGGTGGGAGTGTTTTTGGTGCTAGCACTTCGGATGCATGACGCATTGACAATTTATGCAAATCTAGGCTTAAAATCATAGGCAGAAGCACTAGTAAGTACCAAATGAAAATCCACTAAATTGTACGGTTCCAATCTAATGAGATTGCAGATTAGCTTAAGAAAGGTTCTAAAATACGACCTGGTGTGCATAATGTGGTAAGTAAATTAAAAGTTCTTGTTCAGTCAATTGTGAGCATCTTCGCTGGCATATTGTTAATTGTTTATATGGACATCAATAACATGGTAATAATTTCCTATCATAGGTAGGTTGAGTGTCACATATCTAGCCTTCACTACCCTAGCGTTTCATCGATATTTTAAGTACAGCTACTAGAAATAGTGATCAGTATAAAAGTTTATTTAATTGAAAAGCATTGATAAACATGATGCTACGATGGCTTTGGTGCCCTATAGCTGTATTATAATATTATAATAATCTTGTTAAAAAAGAATGAGTACAAACATATCCCCTTACCTGTTGCATAATCGGGTCGAGCT